AGCTTGACACCCTCATCTTGGCTCCCAAGTACGGACCGTACGGACTACGGAGTAAATACAGTACCGTACCCCCTACGGACGTACAGTACGAGTACTGGAGTGATCTGACCACAACAACAGGGGCGGCAATGTATACGATACGCCCAATCACCGCTCGTGAAACTCTGGACCCCAGCACTGCCTCTCCCGCACAGGGGTCTTTCATTTGCTGCTCCGCGGCACCCCTCGCGAGTTTCGATTCGCGATCCGCAGGCAGACCGCACCGGTGAAAAATGATCTTAATTGAAGAGCTCCAGAGCTCCAGAGTCCAGCATGGCACCAACACCGACCAGCCCTGAACTTCATCTCGCTCTTCATGTCAGTTCGAGATCGATCATTTTCTGGCCACGCCCGCAACCACCCCCCCCAAGCCCACTCGCTTTCATGCTACACTAATGGCAATCTCGACAGCATGAGTCCTGCACTACTATGGCCATAGAGAGGAAGACGGCCAAGTCTTTGCAGAATAATCATGGCTCAGGTGCGGAACGTCTGCCCACTGCCCACGAATTCGCAATGCAGTCAACCAGCCTCACAAGCACGAAAATGAAAGCGAGAGATCGTCCATGCTAAAATCCTGCCCTGCTGGCAAGCAGTTGACCGTCGAGTTCCCAGGAACTCATCACGCTAACGGAAGTATTGGGCCTCCTGGCCCAAGTGTGGGACCTGCTTCACTCGGGGAAGGACCCGTTCCAAACTCTACTGTATGTAGATAGACTTGAGCAGAAGGGAGCAGCGGGGCCCTGTAGGGCGATGCCAATGCCAATTCCAATGCCAATACCAATCGTGCCATTCGTCCCGACAGCGGCTCTCGGTAACACAGGCCCGACGTCAGCCTCGTTTCCATTCAACATAAAACACATGAGGGGATGTGTGTGCATCGTCGCTTGCCACTTTTCGACCTGGCTTCTCCTCCAAGGCCCAGAAGCCTGGCCTGGCTGGACTTCTGCACGTGTGGCTGGGGGGAGGGGGGGTCTTCTGGAACTTTCAAGGAACATGCAGCGGTCAACGGGCTGGAAATTGGCTGGCTCCCCAATCTGCAAGAGACATCACGATTCACACTGACGCTGCGTGTGCCTTCATGCAGCGACGGCTCCACGGAACATTAATTCTCTGCTCCGAGGCCATCTCATTTGTTGGACGGCGTTTAACATCGCCAACAAGGGAATGGAAGGGCGCCCCTGCGCGCTGGGCCGGTAGGCTTTGGTGCTGTTACCAGAATGTTACTTGCCCTTTCAGTCTTCGCGGGGCCGATAATAATGAAAAATAATAAAATAATACTGTATTGAAGTCAATAATGAACGAGATAAATATGACGCTCCGTGGACAACGTTTCTGCATCGTGTACCAGATCTAGCAGTCAAGGATGCAATCCTTTGAGCTCCTCGGTTGTTTGCTTGGCATCGCTCTGTGGGCACGTTGCCGCGGCTTTTCAAATATAGAAAAACGAGGTTGATGTTTATTCCTAGAGGCTTGTACTTGGGTTGATGTAGCATCTCACCAACCCCCTGAAAAGCTGGTGCCTGATGCGCCGGAAGGGGAACATCGGAGGCGGGGTGATGATGAATCTCCAAGACAGTGCCACAGTGGAAAGTCCAGCCATCGAGATATCCATGATTTGACCAAGTACTGGCATTGGAATTCAACTTTGGATCTCAAATTCCGAGGCTGACTTGAACACTAAAGCCGTTGTGAATGTTCCCAGTTTTAACTGAACATCAACAATGTTCTCGGCTTGAAATTGAACATTTCCACCGACCCTCAAATCGCGCTGCACCGAGGTCGCCGATGACACCGACGGCTTATCGGCGACCACGATGGGATCGGGGATGATGGCGATCGTAGGTGCGGCGCAGGTTATGCTTCTTTGAGTGCTTCTCCCGCCCACGCCACGGTCGGAGGATTCAAAACAACTTCGTCAAAACTCTACCGACGTGGATAATCACGGATGGTATGCATACTACCGTGGAAAGTGGAACAAATGAGATTTAGACCCAAACCGATCTTGAAGATCCAAGATTGTGAGGACTTGTAACGCCTAGGTTGATCCGGAACCTCCCTCTGCATTTAGGATCGAGTGCCAAGAGGTTTCTCGTATACCTTTAGTACCGGATAAAATAGTGCATGTAAGTTCTCACGACCTGCCAACAGGAGGATGTAATGTGTGTATCAATTCTACGTTGCTTCATTTCCAGAAGTGCATTGCCTCCTATAACCGTGGCTGGGCCCTCTCCTGAGCTTCTCGTCGTCTGTCGTCCCCAAAATTGAGTTGGTCTTCAATACAAACTACAGCCCTAGTTTCCGCAACGCCAGTGCCTTCGGCCATTTGCTCAGTACGGAAGGACCTCACAAGGCAGAGGGACAACGAATGCTCAATCTGAGAGAAGTTAGTGCATTGCTCAGGTACTTCCGTGGGTACGTAAGGATACTACATGTTACCAGTGATCTGTTCGTCTCATTGTTGTCTGACGAGAGAATTCAAACCTGATGATTGAGCTTGAGACTTCCAAAGCTTTGAGCTATAGATGATCCCGATGAGCGCCATCGGGGTTGTTGGTCCATCACGTTAGCCATAAATCAGATGTATCTCCTTCATCTGGTTTGTGCTTTCACAAGCAAGAATTGAGAGTGGGGAAATAAAGCCCTTCAATTGCTGAATTTTTCCTATCGAGAGTCGAACATTGGCGAGTAGGGTTCGAAATAAGTTTCTTCTCAAGTGGTCTTCTGCGTGAATTCGTCGACCAACCTCTGCAAATAGAAACCTCGTACATCCATGGGCAGATTCTCAAATGACCTTATGATTTTAGCGATATCCCGCCGACCCTTTTCGTATGCCTGCAAGTCTCGATTTCCGTAGACGTCCTTTCCTGAAGCATAACAACTTCCTTGTAAATTTCGAAAGAAAGCGTTAACGGCAATGCTTACCCCAGAAGTGGGCAAGGCGGTATGTAGCCAAAACGGAGGCAAGAAAAGGATGTCGCCTGGTCCGAGCAGAGCCTCATGCGCATGAGTAGCAGCAAGTCTGGGATCGCGAAGTCTTTCGAATGCGTTGATATGGGAGCTCGACGCACCCGGATCAAAATCGAAGTGTTTGATATCGGAAGGAGGAAACAATAGGAGCCGTTTTAAGCCTCGAATTTGGCAGAGAACGTTAGCCATCACCTACATGTGTGAGCTGTATCCATATGATTTTAGTGACACAATTTACATCATAGTGTAGCCACATTATCACGGGTCCTGAGATCCTCAGCGGGGAGCTGTGTAAATTATCTGTGACTAATTCCAACCTAAGGGGGCCAGAGTCAGCATTCTCTCGCGACATGGTTTGGATTGAAATAGAGGAGGGGATGCAGTTTTAGCAATGCATACTGTACCACAAGTACAACATATACTTTAGGCTGAGGGGCCTTACTCTGGTGGCAGAGAAAAGTCCGCCGCTATGGTGGGAAAATCGCTTGCAATGTTTGCCGGCTTTCCGGAAGGCTCTTCGGAAGACAGAGATCTTAGATATAGCCTTTCGCCACCGTCAATTCGATCCAAGAATTCTCCAAACGTCTTGGAACTATAAGCAAAATTCTTTGCTTTGAAGTTCATGTGCTCTGTCGTAGCTTCATGGACAATTACCTACGGGGTCAGCATGACAATACAAATTCTTCTTACAACTCGCTGTGAGATATTTACCTCCCGCTCACTTCCAACTTTCTCCTTTAGGTAGTCGGTGGTCCATTTCGACCTACAGGAGCCGATGTCTGATTTCTCCAGAATGACAGGCTGAGCAACTTGGAGCAGCCGATTGAAATGATCAGCGGTGGTGATTTGGACCCTGGAAACAATGACGGGCTGTTGATCTGTTGTACTTGTGGGATGAGGTCCTCGAGTACTCTTAACAGGCCGGACTGTGGTGACGCTCTGCGTAAAGCGCCATGTCATTATCGGAGCCTGTATGCTGCTGACAGGGTTTCCGTGGGCGCCATTTCTTTCTAACGTGCTCATTGTATAGCACCCCTTGTTCCAAAAAGTGCCGAACGAAAAGCAAACTGCGGAGCCACCCATTATGACAAAGGACTGTCTTGTGTGTGCTACACTTATGCCAATCAGCAGTGGCCGAGGCGTCTTTGGAAGTTGCTTGGGTGACACCGATGATGTCGAACAATTTTGAAAGTCTAGTATGCATATCTCGTCTGCCAGGCTAAGTGTTTGATCTTTCAAAACACCTCCAATGAGGTATATTTGACCTTGGTGATGAATGACGCTTGCCCCAAAACGAGCAATCGTAGATGCGTTTTGAGAGTCTATGGCTCGGAAAGCAATGATGGGCTCCTGGGCGAATGGAAAGCGTAATCAGCCACTTTTGAACCTGTATTGGAGTTCGGGCAAGATAAAAGAGGACTGTGGGCTTACCTCGCTCAAGGCGTTTTTTACCTCGAATCTCCAAATGGCTTGTTGTAACAGCCCATCTTCGGATAGACCACCCGCATACAGCCCCTGTGTCGAAATTGACTGAGCCGCGTTACTCTCGGAACGAGACATAATTAGATTGGCGCCGTATGTCGCAGCTGGGACCTCGCCATCTTCGTCGAAAATGCAGCGAATCCAGCCTCGACGACGGCTCCACTAGATTGTCAAGGAGCATTAGCACTTTCTTTACAAAGCTAGGAACCAAACAGGTCCCATTGCCAAGCCTAGTAAGACAGAGCGAGTGGAGCTGTGTTTTCATGTTGTTGCCACGAGTGAAGAAATGACATCATACTTACAATAAACCATGAAGTCGAAATTTTACAGGAATCGACCCTCCCAGGAGATACTAGAACATGTCCACGGCCTAGATGCACAGCTTGATGCCGATAAAGGCAAACGGAGAGATCGTCAACACGTTCCCAGAGGTTGAGCCTAAATGTCCAAATCTTTTGGATTAGTATTGCTTGCAGGACACAAAACGGACCCGAGACAGTGCCGTCTCAGTATCTTCCCTCGTCACCTATTTGAAATACGTCGCTAGAGGAGATAATCTTAGAGAATCGAGGACCTACCACTTGTGAAAAAACCAGCAGTCTGCTAAAGCGTTGTCTGGAGAAGTTCGACCACCGACTAGCAATGCACCTTCATCGCCAATATCTGTAATGGTGTGGCACATCCTACTGGATGGCACATTTGAAGCCCCGTCTAGGTGGAAAGGAAAAAAAGCCTCCTTGTCTGTGGTGTAGATATCCAATGAGTTCACCCTCGTGGCCGAACCCATTCCACCGAAAACGGCAATGGCATCTTGAGGACTTTTCTGCCTGCTGATCTGCATTGCAGCGGCAAATCGATTAGAACCTTGAGCCTTCGGAGATTCCTCATAGGATAGCTGGAATTGTAAAACACCTTCGGAATATTCTGAAATTGTCGATTGATCTCGTCGAGTTCTTGATTTTGGGCCTAAAGTCTGGGTTGATACGGAAACAGTATCGGCAACTAATAAGAAATAATGGCATCCGAAGAGAGCAAACTCTTCCCATTCATCGAATGGCTCAATTTTGTCCAACTCCTTGCGCTCCGAGAGGCTGGCAAAGGGGGCCGAGCTCCACAGCTCCCAGAGGTTGCATACTGAGACGTTGGGCCATCCCAGACATCTAAATCGCTCGAGTTGATCTGCCGTGGAGGGATACTTCTCGGCCGCCCTTAACGGAGTTTGCAATTTGTCAAAGTGTGCCAGCATTGTTTGAGCAAATGGATGCCCTATCCCTTGCGGGAGAAGCTGCTCAAGGAGACAGAATCTGGCTGGAGACTGTCAGTAGGAATTCGGAACGCGACAGGGGAGGTGCTTGCCATGAGATAAGTTGCCAGCCCACCGTATCAAATCATCGGCTGCCTTAACATCCATGTACGTAATCGAAACTTCTGCAATGAGAAGTATTACCGATTCCTGGACATTGACAGTCCCCGATACCATCCTTTCGAGGCTATCAAGATCTCTTAGATCGCAACCAAGTTGGAGATATCTAGACAACCACAGGTCATTATCACTTTTTTTTATTTAAAAGTGAAACTGTCAAGGTGTAGCATCTTGCGGCACATTGAGACGGTGAATCTGTTTCTAATTGCGAGACATTGGAATAGGACGCAACCGTGAATGTACCTCAACTTTTAGAAAATTCGGACGATTGTACTTTCGAATGTCTCACACCATATGTGACATTCTGATATAAAGGGGAGGGAACAGCTTAGGAAAGACCTACTCATCACTGCGAAGCAAGACATCCCCCTCTAAAGGTACCTGCATGTTCGTGAGCACTGAATTTAGGGCGGCCGTGGTTACTATAACGTCCCGCTTCTTCATCATGAGTTCTTTATAATCAATGTCGACGAACGTGACCTCTTTGCACGAAGACGAATACCTGGCAAAACATTGCCATGGGAGCGGATCACTGTTATGAAATTAGAGCCAGCACCATACCAATCAAGCGACTCGTGCTTACTAGCCGCAGCCTAGATTTATCACCACTTTCGGCCTACCTAGGCGCTCTTCCAGAAAACGATGGACGACCTGGTCGACCGCTCGCATTCTCAACCACTGGAAATTGAAACGTCAACAAATGAACATTTTTATGAAACGAAGAAGAGTCGAATTGAAAGCACTTCACTTCAGAGGTAGCAGAAGCGGGTTTGAAGGTAGAAGCAGGGAATTCAAATACGTACGTAACCGCGATTTATGAGAGGGGATCGTCTTTGAGGCTTCTTGACGAAGTAGCGGAAGAAGTGAGGTTCGTTGGGGAAGTAGAGACGCTCGACGCTTCTTTTTGAGACTATGCTGCTATTATTCGTCTGCAAGAAGGTTAGGACATTTGGGAATGCCTGGGCATGACCGAGCTGCAGCCTCACCCCCATGATTGATTCATCTTGGACTTGGGACTTTGGCTTTGCCGGCATCCTGGGCGCCCGTCTCTTATCCTCACGACCTCCCATTGCGAATAGTCCGATTGTCGTTGTCGAAGGTCACGTTTTCAGCCATGCAGGAGAGGGGGGAAAAGGCGAAGGAAGATACTTTAAACGTCGCGAATTTAAGGTTTGGCCCGGCATTTACCCGAACGGTGGGTGACCTTCCCTGCTGCTCTGCGTGATACAGCTTGGCCTGCCCCACTAGCAACTTCAACAAGCAAAGCAAAGAACGAGCAACGAGACCGCATTTTGGCGCATCAACAGCCCCACCATAGGCCATGCTTTTGCTAGCCACCAAATGTGTTCCTGATACAGCTCCCACATCGAGGTAGCTCCCTACCAGCTGTCTGCCTAGATCTCCCCCACCGCAGTACCCTCCTTCATCGTTGACAGACCTCGCCGGGTCCAGAACTATCAGTCGAGCCCTCGAGGTGCAGGACGTGTAGTATAATATCTGGTCATGGCGATGAATTTTGTGACCTTCAACCAGGACTACAGCTGCCTTGCTGTTGGTGCGTTGCACTATCCCCCTCATACGATCTTGGCTTACGGTTCGTCACTCAGGTACCTCACGCGGATTCAGGATATACCACACGGACCCATTTGCGAAGATATTCAGCAGCGACGATGGAAATGTAGCCCTGATTGAGATGTTGTTCTCTACATCACTGGTTGCTCTGATACTCTCACCGCGGCATTTAGTCATACAGAATACAAAGGCAGGGCTTCTTTTCTCAAGCCAGGCCTTTTTGCTGATAGTATTGCCAGAGGTCCTCAATCATTTGCGAACTCACGTTTCCTTCTGCAGTCCTTGCCGTACGGCTCAATCGCAAGCGGCTTGCTGTAGTATTGGAAGAGGAAATCTACTTGTACGACATTTCCAACATGACTCTACTTTACACAATCGCCACATCGCCAAATCCTAACGCCATATGTGCGCTGGCTCCCTCGTCTGAGAATTGCTATATTGCATACCCGCTACCAAAACCGCGGGAGGATACGGGGGATAAGCGGCCATCTCATGCACCACCCCTCTCGACCTATGTCGCCCCGACCACAGGAGAGGTCTTAATATTCGACACATTGAAATTAGAGGCGCTGAATGTTGTGGAGGCGCATCGTGCACCGTTGTCCTGCATTGCCCTGAATAACGAAGGAACTTTGCTCGCGACAGCTTCAGAAACGGGGACTATCATCAGGGTTTTCTCACTGCCCCAAGGAACGAAGCTATACCAATTTCGACGGGGCACGTACCCATCAACTATCTACAGCATGTCGTTTAATTTGAGTTCGACCCTACTTTGTGTTTCATCGACAACCGATACAGTTCACATTTTTCGCTTAGGAGTGCCTGGAACAGCATTACCAGACTCTCCAAAGTCCTTGAATGATAGATGGAATCGATCTCGAAGCTTCGACAGCGGCGTGGAATCCCCCACTGCAGGAACTTCCCCTGGTAGTGAAAATACAGAAACTCTTGCTGCTGCGCGGAAAACCAGTGGCTCGTTCGGCAGCATGATCAGAAGATCATCGCAAATGATGGGAAAGAGCGTTGCCGGCGTCGTTGGAGGTTACCTCCCACAAGCGGTTACAGAAATGTGGGAGCCTATGCGAGATTTTGCTTTCATCAAGCTACCCAAGAGTGGCATGGGTACAAACTCGACGGGTGGTCCACTACGTAGCGTGGTCGCTATGAGTAGTAGCAGTCCCCAAGTGATGTTGGTCACTAGTGATGGAGGATTCTATGTTTTCAGTATCGATATGGAGAATGGCGGTGAAGGTGTTTTAGTGAAGCAGTACTCGTTAGTCATATTACCACTTCGTCGTTGTGGGCTAACCTTGCGGCAGTGTCCTCGAGGGTGACGACAAACTCGACCAATCAGCTATTGACTACACAAATTAAGCGATTCGCCGAATGCCCGCTTTATATTTGGTCCTCTTCGTCCTGGCGTTCTGATGGAGTTCTTGGGACAATCTCATCTTAATTATTCGCGGGGTTTTCAAGCATCGCCAGGAGGCGTTTTTCCCACGGTTGTTGGCTGAGCATTTTGACGGCCAGCCACGGGTGACCCCTCGAGCATAGCAAATTAGTAATGGATACCCTTTGTCGAGACACGGGCTTAGATTTTCCAATTCGACAATGTAAATGTCACTTCCAGTCTGTCTGAGCCACGCTCGTTCTCCTGGTGCGGGAAAGATTATTGTATTCTCGGGTTCTTGTTCGAGACTGCACCTAAAAACACTGACAAGGCAAGGTGGGACAAGGAAGGCAGAACAACATGGAAAGAACAAACATTCAGATGTAGTTCCCGACGAAGTAAATAAAATGACTGGCAACGCAAAAGAAGGAGATTCCAGAGACTGAGACTAGCTGTCTAGACCGGTGCACCTTGCAAAGAAGACCTATCGGTATATTGTAGTACGTAGAGCTTCGTTTTATTTTGGTGTGTTGCTGCTCACAGGGAAGAACCTCTCTTATGCCTGTTTCCCGAATTTACTCCCTGATAGTTCTACTCATGTAACTTTGTTTCTCCCTCGAATTTTTCACTTCATGAACTCATCTGAGAGTCCACTTCATATATTCCTCATCTATATAGTTAGCGATCATATGTTCACTACTCGTCAGGTCGGCGAAGCCTATTTGCTTCTTCAAAGGTCAGCCCGCCATTGGCTTCAATCACACGCAAAGAGGGGATTTCCTTAACCTACAACACCCTCTCTTCTCTGCTGGACAGTGAAACTATCACACCCATCCCTTGTAAGGCACTCGAATCTGCACCATCAACAATTACCCTCGTTTATCCTCCTGAATACCTTCTCTCTTTCTCCTCTTTCTTCTATTAAAACTCACAAGTTGTGCCCTTTAAACTCTCGCGACCTTGCTGCACAAACAGCACAAGTCAGAAGAGAGCTCGTGGCTCTCAGGGTTATAAGACTTCTCATTCTAAAACTTCGCTAACATTACTTATAAAAGTTGCACCCCAACACACCCAGGCTTGTTGCCAGATGGTCAGTCCGGTGTTGACTCGGAAAACGGAAGAAAAAACCCAGGATACTTCTGCTTCCTGCCGATCAAAGACGAGGTGTACCGGAAAGCGTGGATCAACGCGAATATCGGCCTAACCACGAGCGGTCGTGGTAGGAGGTAAATAGAGTTTCGGTACTCCCCCCCCGCTGGCTTGTTTGACCATGGCATGGCATGGCCGGGTCCAGGCCCAAACACGCCCGAAAATAGAAAACAGATGCTCGGCAGACTCGAGAATCCAAGCTGCTTCAACCGCAGAAACGCGAGGGCGATGACGGCGACATATATGCTGCTGGGGAGGAAATATATAATATCATACCCCACTGTGCGGCAGACCCCCTCCACCCACGCCTCGTCGTTCTCTGGCCGCTCGCTCTCTATTTGCTGCACCAGCCTGCAGTGCCATGCAGCCGTTGCAAGGAAGTGCGATAACGAAACCAATCAGCCGCCCGTGGGGTTGCAGAGCCGGCCAATGTGGCCCGTTGCCGCTGTTCGAAGCGTGGAGGGGAGTGTGTGGGCGACCAACGGGTTGTGTCCTCACAGTCGCAGTTTTTGCTCGAAACCTACTGTGCTCCTCAAGAGTGCAGAGTGCAGACTGTGCAGTTTGCAGATTGCCCAGAAAGCCCCCTCCAACGGTCTGCGGTCTGTGGTACAGCCTCCTATCCCCAATTCGTCGTCGTGCTGGGCCTCGCTTCCCTGTGCGCTTATCTGCTCGCTAGGCCTGATAAGGGCCTCTGCTGTATTGTATCAGTATCGTCTGCACACTGCTCTTCCTCCAACCTTCACTCCTCCCTTTTGCTCACAAGCCTGAGTCTCGAGACTCTGGAGCCTCATTCAACGCACTCCCGACTTGCTCTGCTCCTGCACGCTTGCCCGCCAACGGGCCTTGTCACTGCCTCTCTCCACCGTAGAGCTCCCGGCTCGTCCTCCTCCTATCACGCGAATCCCCTGCATGCATTCCTCTCGGATTGCCCTTCCAGATAAGATCCGCATGCCTCCAGCTCCTTACATGCTGCGCCGACATACTTATTAAAGGGCTTGCTGGCATCTCGCCCAGTGTAGCTTTGCGAACTGGATTAGGATGACGACAATTGCTCTCCCTCGCCCTGCGATCCCTTCAGGCCATATCCGCTCCTCCTCTCCGCGGCCCCTGGCTCCCAATCTCAGTCTCGATCATATCAACTCCTCGGCAGCATGCCCAATTCCTATTCCCAACAAGCATTTGCCTGTCTGTCCTCCTGGTCCCGCCCCGGCCGAAAAGCCTGATACCCCTCCACAGTCCCCACCGTCGAAAGAGCTCTCTCTCCAACCGCGCTCCCTCCTCCATCCTCCCGATAAATACAAAGCACAACTTCTGGGCACGTCCACTGTTTACGAGATCGGTGCCGCAGAAGTGGCTGCTGCTCTGGACCACATTGCGGGACAACCTCTGCCAGACCCATCCCAAGTCTTCCCTTGGTTTCACGGCCTTCATCCTTGTAACCACATTCAACAAGCCTTTTTCATCGCCAGGCGGCGGAACTTGAGGAAGACCCCAAAATGTTTGCGAGGCATAACAATTGTCAAAGCTGGTGGGGATCTGAGCTGTTCGAGGCTCAAGGGTGCAATTGCCCCGGAGGAGTTCTTGCTTCAGGACCTTGCTGGAGCAGTCTTCAGAGAAGTGGATCCGAAAGAAGGGTTTTCCGTTCGTAATTTCCAGATTCAAGCCGCCAAGTCTGCCATGGTTTCTGATATCCTGGTCTATGGTGAGGATGAATTTGAGGTTCAGAGGCTCGCTAGGGATTGTGCAGCCGCCCAGCAATCATGGCGGGAAACGCATGAAGAAAAGGGGCACGAGCTCCTCAGGTATAACACTTTTGTTTGCACAAGCCCCTTTGAGGAGTTCGAGGAGAAGTGCCCTGAAATTGTTGCTACCGATTCTCGGGGGCAGATGACGGGCAATGTCATGGACTTCTTCTACCAGGAGAGACTAGAGATGTGTACGATGACGAAGGCCTCGGAAATTGATCACAACGTCTGGTTAGGCCCCACTCCTGATTCTTCTATAGATCCGGCTTTGCTCGGCAGCGATGAGCAATTCGACATCCTCATCGAGTGCAGTGATCTGGGTCGATTGAATCCAGCTTCCCTCCAGGCGATTGCAGAGAATACCACTGATGACCATCCTGTGTATCTCGACTTTCCATCATCTGGCAGTATTATGCCACCAACGTGGTCTCAAGCAGAAGCGGATGGTATTCTAGAAACGTGCAGATGGCTTTACAACCTCTCCCATGGCATTCTCCCTTCGACCCCCCAGACACAAGAGAACGATGCTGAAGGGGATTCTCCTATGCCCTTCTCTTCGCCACCGCCTACTAGGACTCGAGAAAGGAAAATACTGATCCACTGTACCGATGGGTATACAGAATCGACACTCCTTGGCCTGGCATATTTTACGTATGCCACAGGTCTTCCGGTCCCCACGGCTTGGCTTGATTTGCACGTCTCCAAAGGACGCAACTTTTTTGCTTATCCTTCCGATGTAGCCTTACTGACTACAATTGCCCCACGCCTCTTATCCGAATCCCCCACCCATGCTGAGAAATCCCTTTCCGACATTACTGAGCTGGCAAAGGATGAGCCTGAGTGGATCAAGAACATGGATGGCTCTCTTCCAAGTCGAGTTACTGATTATATGTATCTGGGAAATCTGGGGCATGCAAACAATCCCGATCTCTTGAGACAGATGGGGATAAGACAGATACTCAGTGTCGGAGAAACTGCTGTTTGGAAGGATGGAGAGTTGAGCAGGTGGGGAAAAGACAATGTGATGGTCGTACAGAGGGTACAGGACAACGGCGTTGACCCTTTGACGGAGGAATTTGAGAGATGCCTTGCATTCATAGGTTAGCCCTTCCCCGCTACGGTACAGGAACCCTTTCTCACAGTGCAAATAGATCGTGGCAAAGCCAACGGCACCGCGACACTCGTCCATTGTCGCGTTGGTGTTTCAAGGTCAGCAACAATTTGTATCGCGGAAGTGATGCGATCTTTGGGACTATCATTTCCTCGTGCATACTGTTTTGTGCGAGCTAGACGATTGAATGTCATCATCCAGCCACATCTCCGCTTTTCTTACGAGCTTCTCAAATGGGAGGAGAAACTCCGAAGGGACACTCATCAGGAAGGGCGATTCAGGAGAGAATTGGAGTGGCCGGATATCGCTCGCGAAGTGGCTGCCATGAATAAGCCATATGCGAGGTGATTTTATTTTATTCAGAGGGGTTCATGATTTACGAGTTTACGACGTTATACCACATTCATTCAGCGATTTGTTCTGGCGCCGGTGTTCGAACTGGATACTGGTTTGGCTCAGGTAGCCATTGGATTATCACATTTTATTAGCTTTCTAGGATTGGATTTTCGGAGACTTTGCAGGGAGCGAGGCCGACATGTTTTGGACATATTCATTGTATAGGCACTTTAGTTTGGATAACAAGTCAACTAGGAAGGATGAAATTTGGAGAGATCTATTAGCTGGGCGTTGAAAATTTGTGGCCACACTTGGGATTTATAGGGACGGATTTTATAAGAAGAAACCATCTTTTTGGAGAGCAACGGAGCCAAAACTTGCTCGAAACATCAATTCAAAGCTCCCTACTCGACCTGTCCCTCGCTTGTCACCATGGTCGAAGGCGTATTACCTTCGGCCTTCGTGTGAATCTCCCTTGCCTACTGCATATGGCAAATACTTAGGAAGCCCTCAGTTGTTCAACCGCCATTGTAGCCATGTTAAGTAGCAATAGTCGTCAGTCACTTACCACCAGCGAGATTTCAATATTGCTGCCTCACAGTTTATTCACTCGGATAAGTGATCGTCAATACGGGTCGGCTAGCTCGGCGGACTGGAGCGTTCTGGATCTGGGAATAAAGCGGCACTTCGAACTAGATTGTGTTCTTTTTTTGTGACATCAATGGCCCCTTGCAGCACTTTTTCCATGCATGTTTGACCGCCCTTAAGCCATGCAGCGCCATGCCTCCTAATCATCATTGTAACAGAACTCCTGACCTGATATATGCTCGCTCAAACTACTATTTCATCATCCTTCCTTGTCGGCACCCGAGTCAATACATCGAAGGCTCCAGTCCCAACTTTGCTCATCCTGCCAATGACGATCCTGGAACTGGGACTTGACAAATCATCCCAATCACCGTCCGTGACCGCATCCGCCAAGAACCCCAGAGTCGTCTCGAAACTCATCTTCATAAACGGGCTGACACTCCCCCTCAACCCATTTCGGTTGAACGGGCTGAAGCCTCCTCCACGAGTCATGAAATCGGCGATCAAGTTCAGATGCCTGTGGTCCACGCTGATTCCGTGTCCGCCAAAGACGCCTGAGAGTTCTTGGATGATGGCAGCACGGCAGGCCTCCACACCGTAATTCGTGAGCATGGCTGCTATGTCGTTCGTGGAGATAGTATTCGGATTTATGATGAAAGGATAAGCTTGCATGGCCTTGAGGTTGACACCAGCTGTGTGTACGACGGGGATTTTGACGAGCTTGCCAGTGGCTGGATCTTTGACTTCTTCATCAACATACGTGCACGTTCCCAGTCCAGGAATCTGTTGGATGAGAGATTGTCGTAAGGCATCCTCGACGATGGAGAGCATGAGGACTTTCGGAACATCTGCAGCATATTCAAGAGTGATTTCGCACCATTCTCCAGCCGTTTCGTCGAAGCGAAACCGAACAATGTCGCTACAGTGCTTCATGACCTGAGCTTCGCGCTCCTCTGCTGCAGCGCTGACAACTTGCCTCTGCCCCCCACTCTTGTTCCCGTCAGCATCTTCACCATCGCTCGCAGGATCTCTTGGGCTGCCTCCGATGCCTTCATCTTCCATTTCCTCATCATCTTCTTCAGGTTCGGCCTCTTTCTGCATCTGAGCTTGTACCCTGTCATCATCTTCGTCATTTGCAGCATAACTGACAGCTTCGGAACGGTTCGCCCGCTGCTTATCGTTTGTAGCGTCGTCGTCGCCATCATCGTCTTCGTCGTCTTCCCCAACTTCCCGCTCTGCTGATGCCCGGACCTCTTCAATGGTTCCAACGGACTTCCCAATTTCAGGAACTGCTGCAGTATTTGCAAGAGATTTTAATCCCCTTTCTCCCTTCTTCCTCCCAAGAGCTTTTCTCGTGAGAGACTGCAAATTTGGAGCAAACTTCTTCTCCAGGGTAGACAGCACATCCCCAACTTCAATGAAATACGTCTCTGTGTACTCCTTCGACGGGAAAAGTTTGATGTGGATATTGTAGGTCTTGGCTTGGGCGTAAGCAACACCTCGACCAATGGACTCGCCAACTGTTGCAACATCCAAAACCTCGGCGAGGGAAAGAACGCTGATGGATTTAGCAAACCTCTCACCATCTTCCCGCGAAAGCTCCTCGTTGATTCGAACGGTCATGGAGGGTGTCGCGATGTGGTTGCTTGCAGTCATGACAATTTCCCGCAGACGAGGAATTCCCAGTGTGACGTTCTTTGCAGAATGTCCCGCTAAATGGAAAGTGTTGAGAGTCATCTGCGTCGACGGCTCCCCAACTGACTGGCCAGCCACGATACCTACAGCTTCGCCTGGGTCTACAACAGATTTCAAATACTTTGCGGCTAATACCGATTCTAGAGCCTTGCGAGCGCCGACACCATCAGGATGTTCTTTGTCCTTAACCATCCCGTCAGGATTCGTTTTCAGATAGGTTGTGAGGGCGTCGAAGAATTTCTCAGAGGTCGCATAACCGTATTTTCCTGGGTTAAATTTCGCAAGGACAGGATCGGGTCCATTGGGTTGGTTAGCTTTGACATATCTGAGCGCCTTCTTCATCTGCTTCAATATGACCTCTTTCTCCTCAAATATGGTGGCAAAATTCGTGTCGTCATAATTCAATTGCTCGCATTCAGAAATGAGATTCTCGAGGAGGAATTTGAAGTCGGTCAAATGCTTCTGCTTTGTCACGTCCAAGCCATCCTCTCCATATAGGAATTGGATCATTGACCCATCGGAGTCTCTGACAGAGGTATCGTATTCAACCTTAAGGCCTTCCATACCTTTGATGAGACATCTCTGGAGGTATCCGGATCTCGAGGTTTTAACAGCAGTGTCGATCAGGCCCTCTCTTCCCGCCATGGCGTGAAAATAATATTCTTGAGGCCGAATGCCCGTCAAGAAACGGTTCACCACATAACCTCCAGCCCTGATGTCTGTCTCAAAAGGCCTGAAACAGGGTAGAGACTTTCCACTGACCATGACTGGAACTCGACGTCCTTCCAAAACCTGCTGGCCTAGATTGCAGGAAATCAGATTTGCATTGACAGAACTGCCCTTCGCTCCAGAAACCGTCATATTTTGCATTTGATTTTTTGGAAATTGCTTGACCAGGCCACTCGGAAGGCATGCCAGTGTGATGTCGGATGAAAGTTGTCCAGAACGCTTGTTCATCATCATATCTAGGCCTTTCTGCTTTGTGTCGTCTCTCACTACATCCTCTATACGGTTCAGCAGTTCGGGGTCTGTGTCTGTCGGCTTCTGGTCATACAGTGTGACATATTTTGCAGCAACCTCAAGGCCGATGCTGCGAGCCTCCTCAAGTTTCTCTTTCCGAATCCGCTCACCCCTTGGCGTCAAACGCAGGTCATCCATGCCGCAGGTGAAAGCTCTCATGTGGAGAAATTTTGTCAGAAGTCGACCCAAGATACTCAACATCTTCCCGGCCACAGTAGGGCCATACGCTTCGTGGATTGAATGGATGAAACCACCCCCAGTAGGACCGATCTGAGATTTGTCAAGGATTCCACTTATGAATTCCCCTGCTTTAAAGTGAACAATGCCTTCTTCTGATCCTGCGCCCCATTGATCAGCCGGTGTGGATGATTTGCTGGTGAGAACAAGGGGTGCGTGATTGACTGGCATGATATTCTTTAAGATTGTAGTAATGACCTGCTTTCCGGTCCATCGTGGGAAAGGCTTGATGATTGCAGGAAGAACTGTAACTATCCGCTCTCCAACGATATGTCCACTTTCCGGGCGGAGGCAATTGTATATCAGTTGTTGATATGTTGCGCGGTCGAAAAGGGTGTCTCGATTACACATCCAAACCGAGACGGATATGTGATCTTGGATTAGACCTCTGAGAGGCTTTCCCGAAGTGGCTACCAGATACTGATGATCCGTGTCCGCAATTTGTAATGCTTCCGCTCTTGCAATCTCGGTCTGGGGGAAGTGCATGTTCATCTCATCTCCGTCGAAATCGGCATTGTAAGTGTTGCAATTTGCATAGTGCATGCGAATTGTTTTCTCCCCGGGCAAAACCCGTGCTCGGTGACCCATAATCGACGGCTTGTGTAGAGTTGGTTGCCGATTCATCAGCACAACATCTCCATTAGTGAGATGTCGATGCACCTTCTTATTTCGTGCTCCACTAGCACTACTGCTGGAAGATGCGAGCAGTTGGTTTGCTAAAGCCAGCCTCTCATCCTGGGTTTTCGTCCGCAAGCTGATGACTTGGCCGTTCTCGTTCTCGATAGCTGCAGCACCAGGCCACTTGTCGAACCCGTTTATTACAGCTTGCTGCATATCCTTGAAATTATGGCTTGTGACAGGTTCTGGATACGTGAGTTTCCTGGCAAAGACGGGCGGCACTCCGATCTCATTCGTCTCAATGTTAGGATCGGGCGAGATGACACTACGAGCCGCAAAATTGACTCTCTTCCCCATCATGTTTTTCCTGAAAAGGCCTTCTTTCTTCTCCAGCTTTTGCTTGATACCATCTTCGTTTTTCTTCCCAGCTGCACCCTGGATCGGATTTCGATCACGGTCAATCAAAGAGTTGACGGCATCCTGCACCCTACACCAAGCCTCTTCCAGATCGCTGTACTTCCTCGTCTGAGGCGAAAGATTTTGAATCACTCCCTTCGAATGGACCTCCTTGTAAAATTGAGAAAACATCTCACAATTCTTGAGAATGGCCTTGTAGAGGGTATTTTGTTGCGCTTCTGCGATCTCTCCTTCCCCGGTTCGAGCCTCTGGCCGATATTTGTTCGGGGGTACAAGAAGGACTTCCAAGAAGAACATCTCGGGGGAGACCACCGTAGCCCTCTTCGATGCTGAACGAGAGTTGTAGACTAGCGATAAGATATCCTGCTCCCTTTCAAAGAGTAGCATCAGTTGTGATTTGACTTCTTTGGCATTCAAAAATTTCTGCGGCGCCGACGCAACCTTAGGCTTCGAGTTCGAGTCCGCGTTGGTCATTGTCATGGCTTCTCCCATGACTACATCTCCGTTGACATCGAGAGTCTGACCTTCCCCCTCTCCATCTTCTTCGTTCGACGATAAATCGATGTCGGCAATGCCTTCGTCAAAATCACCCTTAGTCTTTTCTCTCTTTGCCTGTTCCAGAGTCTGAATAGCAGTCTCAGCACGGAAGTTGCCTTGTGCCATCTTAGCCTTCTCCTTAGGGCTCAACGCCTTCATAAAGATCTTAACATAACGATCCTTCCGGAAAGTAGGTGATATTCCATTACAGTTTCCGCAAATCTTGCCAGTAGTGATGGATTTTAGGAAGGCTTTGACGACTACTCGTCTTGCTTCCGCAACCCCCTCGTTCTTCTCGCGCTCCCACGCCCACGGGGTGGCTCTTGAGGCTTTGATCGTCTTTTTAACAAACAAACTCCTCCGCCGAATGACATTATCATCCGCTGACTCTTCTTCTGACTCGCTGCTTCCGTCGCCAGCGTCCTGAGACTGTGTCACTTCGATATGGTCGATGTCTTCCGCTGCACCAAGTAATCCATGCTGCAGCAATCGGAGCTTGCAAAGATATCGATTGACTTCCTTGCGGGACATTTTGAGATAATGACAATAGGTACATTTTGCCCTCAGTAACCGCAATAGTTGATCCATAAATGTAGGGTGATAAACCGGGATTGGGAGCTCGATATGGCCCACATGGCCTGGGCAACCAATCGAGTTCAGATTGCATGTTGTGCAGCTTCATATCGAGTTAGAGTTGATAGCATAAATAATGTTGGGGGCGTACAAGTTATCTCCCCAGGCACCGAGCGCAGGGTCATACAATCCTCCAGGAACTGGGTGAAGAAGAGTGTCAAATGTGGTGGAGTTCTGTATTCGTTTTACAGAGAGAGCTTTGATCTCTGCGGCACCAAGAAAGCCAAAATCGACGCTGCCAATGGCAGATGAAACGGGCTGAGAAATATTCATCTTGAAGAAGAACAAACGTAGGGCCCGCCAAAGAACTTGACTCGAGGCCTCAAAACCCAGAAATCGTTGTTCCTCGTGGAAGCTATAGTCAAAAAAAAAACCTGCTCGGATTTTTCTTATCTTATCAGAAACACCTGGTGCACGTGACCTTCAAATTCTGGGTAGGCGGTAGGTTCAAGGCATCCTTCCTCAACGTGACAACATCCAACACGCGCCAGGAAATTCCTACCGCCTTTTCGAGACAGATGAGAATTCACCCGCATGGATCGAGGTAAAGCATCGCCTATCCTGGCGCCTCGTCATGACGCCGCGAGCCGTGTTGGAAAGCCCGAGTCGGCAGCAGAGAAGCTCGCATCGTTGAAAGCCCGAGTTGCAGCAGCTGTGGGCAGTAGCAAAGCAAAGGCCGGGACGAATCTTGGTCCAGCACCCGTCACAACCTCTGCACGAGGTGGCTTGAATGTCGATCTACATCCTGCTCTGCAAGATATTGGACAGTTTCAGTTCAAGCCTTCTTCAAAGACGGTCGCGCCGAAGTTTGCAACCAGCATTGGAAATGCCCGACCTCAACCTGAAAAGCCTGCTCCCAAGAGCAAGAAGCAACTCGATTTGTCTGGACCTTCGGCAGAGGAAACGCGGAACAATCCATATTTCGACATCAGCCTTGGAGGTCAAACGGCTACACTTAAGAACAGACACTCCAGGCAGCTGATTTTCAATCAAAAGGGCAAATACATCCAGCAAGCCAATGCGTTACGAAGACAAGCCGCCCTCGAGGCAATGAAAAAGAAAATCGCCGAGTCATCACGAAAGATAGGCATTGATGAAGACCTGGACACTGAGAAGAATTACCTCGTTGAAGCACCTCCAAATATTGAATGGTGGGATGAAGGCTTGGTAGACGGCAAGAATTACAATACCATTGACAATCCAAAGACTCTTAAAATCGACACCCCCGACTCCATAATCACCGAATACGTTCAGCATCCGGTCCTGCTAGAACCACCCCAGGAAAAGAATATGCCTGCGCCGAAACCCATGTTCCTCACATCTAAAGAACAAGCAAAACTACGACGTCAACGTCGCATGGCAGAGTTAAAAGAACAACAAGCCAAGATTCGTCTAGGTCTCGAGCCTGCACCTCCACCCAAAGTGAAGAAAGGAAATCTGATGCGAGTACTGGGCGAGGAGGCCGTGAAAGACCCTACAGCTGTCGAGGCACGAGTGAATCGCGAAATTGAGGCACGTCATCAGACTCATGTGGAAATGAATGAAGAGAGAAAGCTCACCAAGGAGCAACGACATGAGAAGCTAGCTTTAAATCAGGAAAAGGATGCCGCCAAAGGTATACGTCTTATGGTATTCAAGATTGATAATCTGGCAAATGGCAGTCATCGATTCAAGATTGCAAAAAATGCGGAGCAGATGGCTCTAACTGGAATTTGCATCATGCACCCAAGGTTCAATCTCGTTATTGTAGAAGGTGGCGAGCATAGCATAAGACAGTACCGGAAGCTCATGCTGCAACGAATTGATTGGACAGAGAACTCTCCCACGCGAATCAAGGAGGGCACCAAGGCGGAAGCTTTGCAAGACTGGCTGAAGGCGGAAGATGAAAAGGGAGAGCTCAAGGATATGACCTTGAACAAATGTGTACTGATATTTGAGGGCGAGGAGAAAGCCAGGGCTTTCAGAAAGTGGGGAAGCAAGGTATGCGAGACGGATAGTGCTGCTAGAGACGCACTTCAACGAGCAAAGATGGAAAATTTCTGGGCTCTGGCAAAGAGCATGAAGTAGAATGGCCGAGCTACATCCTTCAATCAATGGGCTTTTGCCTGTAAGGTACTCACAACATGAACCCAATTTATGACGTAAAATGGAAACTTGGCATGAAATGGGGATATGTTTCCATGTTTGAAATCGCATGGCGCCACCTGAATCATCGATTTGACCCAAGGAATCCTCAGTGGCCGTCCAGCTCCATCATCGAAGCCTCCAATTCATCATCATCAAAGCTAAACTCATCTTCCTTCGCGGTCATTTCCTCGTTACCATTTCTAATTCCATCCATTGGTTCGGCGCCGTCATCTTTTTGTGCCTCTCTTAAAGTCCGGATACTCTCCTCTTCCTGCTTTTCCTTAAAGTTCTCCAGGTCCTTAAGACTCCACGTACTGATACCCTCTTGATGGCTGGGCTTGAAAGGCTGCGCCATACTTCTTAGGAACTTTTTCGCCGCTCCAACAGCCATATCAGTACTCAAATTGACTTCCCCATCGAGCAATGCTTGATTGATCCATTTCGGCAGCTGCGTCCTCTTCTTCAGAAATCTCCTGTCGGCCAGGACCATAATACCATAGTCATCCTTGCCTCGCAGAACGCGACCCAGACATTGAGCGGCGTGTCTCATCGCGTCGAATGACAAGAAATCATTTTCTCTAATGCGATATGTCTCGCGCAAGAATTCGAGTCGCGCTTTGAGGATTCTGGATTCCGTGTATTGGAATGGTACCCCAATACACAACACGGTACGTCCATACTGATGGTCGAAATCGATTCCTTCACTGACTTTTCCTCTTGCCACACATAGAAGTATGGCCCCACGCCCATTGCAGCAGGCCGTGCGATATGTCTCCAGTGCAAGGGATGTCTCTTGCGCATCAGGCGTTTCGACGAGAATGAGCTTGTACTTCCAGACTTCATCAAGAATTCCCATTCCTTGCCACATACTAATAATGGATTCCATGTAGAGGTATGATGGAAAGAAAACGACCATGCCATCAGGCGTCAGTTTGGAGAATTCCGTGAGTAGATGACCATAATTTCGCACCACAGACGGCTCATTTCGAACTTGAAATCCAGACGAGATTGCGACTTGATCCGACCCGCGTGTAACAATCATTGGCAAGAAAGAGCGGCGTGCGAGGGTCATGCTGTATGATTCCTGCACCACCGTTGTGAAACCGAGCATCTTCGGGTACATTTCGAGAGGCGAAATGGTACCGGATGTAATAATGACAGAGCTAAATCTGTCAAACACAGGTTTTATGGCTATTGCAGCATCTAGGCATGTGAAATGGAGGACGGGATTTGGCACTTCGGCGGTGTCGGATTCATATGGCTCCAAGATGAGCAGAAAGCCCTTCTCATAAGTGGCTACTAAGGTTGCAAATGTAGCTACCTCTTGAAGGGGTTGGTAGTCCTCGATGTTGGTCAACTCGAGAGTTCGGACAAGTGAGGTGAGTCGTTCAGCGCAAAATCGTAAAGGTTTCTTCTCGATAAATGTGTACTCTTTCAGATGGGCCAGGAAAGAGGGAGGTGTTTCCGAAATGACCTGGCGGACTTTCATTCGTGTCTGGATAGCTGTTAGACACTGTAAACACAGGCGAAATTGCATGTAAATACCTTGAGATATTCCACGAAGCGTTTCAGGAAGGCTACGAAATGTTCTGCTCGTCGGATATTTCCCGGGACAGCTTCTTTTAGAAGATCATCAGGTAATGCTGCAGTGACCTGAGCAATTGTGTTCACAGTAATTCTGACAGGGACTGACCTGGGTTTGACATGAATGCGTCCTCCTCACGTGCTTCATCCGCATCCCTCAGGCCCTCTACAAGTTTCGCATATTCATCTTTCAACTTACCCGCATCACTATCCTTCATTTCTGCGATCTTATTCTCAAGATTATGGGCGCCTCGAGTTGCCTTTCGCAGGGAGTCCTCAGTAATATCCGTGCTCAACGACTCGATGCAGACATTGTCGATGTTGTGTGCCTCGTCGAACACGACTATGCAATCTTTGGAGAGCTCTTTTGACACCCTCTCTGCAATTTTAGGGTCGAGAAGATAATGATAGGAATAGATGATCACGTTGCAGAAAGACATCTGTTTGGGTCAGCATGGTTTCATATGCTCAGAGTTTGACTGACCATTCGCCTTGATGTGAAGTACGGGCACTGCTTATGCTGTTCACCATACCTCATCAGCCCATCTAAAGTCCAGACTCCATTGGGTATCAAATTGTGCGGCTCCAAAAGGTCAAGGTTCTATCGTTGTCAGCTCTGGTAGCCATCACGAAAGTGGAGACTTTACATCGTGGTAAATGCACACCGGGACATCCTCCCCCTTATCTTTTTTCTCCTTCACAAATCCGGCTGTGAGACTTCGACATCTGGCATCCACTATTGCGCCGCTTTTTTCTCGTTTGACGGAAGGATGGAGGCAGAGATTCTTACGACTCGTCAAGCCGAGCCCACGGAAATCTTCTTTATGCCCCAGTTGCTCTTCTCGATACTTCATTAATGCTTTCAACTCCGCTAAAGCTTTCTCAATCTCTGACATAGTCCCTGACAAGGGTCAGCATCCCTTGATCGATAAGCCGGAGGTACTCACGTGAGCAGTATATCAACTTCCGATGCTCAGGGTAATATTGCTGATAGGCCACGATTAGTGAGAGGAGAGACACAGTTTTACCTGTGCCCGAGGGCATCTCCAATACACAGTGTCCTCCTGCATCGAGCGTCCCTGGAGTTGGGGGTCAGCATCACCTGGGTGGGGACGGACATTCTATCCTACGTTTGAGATCACACATGTAGCTTAACGCAAGCACGCAGTAAGCACACTGGCCGACAATGAAGATATGATAACCTACGCATATTGTTCTGTGGTCGTTAGTATTTAGGTACGGCATTCCAAGCGACGGAACTGATCTTACCTGGATATATCCTTGGATAGGGAAATAACACCGGCAAATCACTGGTTCCCCATCAGCATAGTTATTAGAATGTATTCAACAGAGCCATACTCGATGTTGAACCTCATCTTTGTGGCGTGTAGCAAACAGTTTGATGATGAATCGCCGTGGTTGAAACTGAACGTTCTGTGGTCCATCAGGAATCAAATTTTAGCGAGGATGCGCCTTGAGACGTCAAGGCATCAGTCAATTATCCCCTCATGCTTGATTTCATTTCACAGCAAGAAATCAAGAGGAACACAAAGAATAGCTTCCTGTCGTCTTATTGACACCCGTATGCTTATATTTATCACTCTGTCACCCCCGGCTGATGCCGATCAAGTAATATCTTCTTTGATTTACGAGCCCTGAGCAGGCAGCAGTCACCTCTCACGATCTATGAATCTTTGCTTGTGTTCAGGATCCTGTGGCTAAACGGCAATCTTCCCGTCCAACTCCAACTTTCTGGACTTCAATACCGTCACCAGGTCCTCCCATAATATATATTTAATGTTACCGTCGACGGAGGGGAAATCGAAGGACGCTATCTACATCTTGAACTTGGTGGGATCTTTTGCTGAAACACATGTCTTGCAAAGGTAGGCACGCCAGAGAAGTCCTGAATACACCGTCCTCGTGAAGTATACTCGATGGACCGGGTAGCTGCTAGCATCGATTTGGCAGCACATATCAAACCACCTAGGTTGACATCGTCGTCGACTGTAGCTTTGCAGTTGCTACCTTTTCTCTTCACTACTGATGGATCGCCGTCCTGCCTCTCGGTGCTGAACTCCCACAAGGCGTCAATAATGACTCGCATCTCGTCCGGAATCTTAAGCTTCTTGTCGGCCTTCCCCGGACGAGTAGCTGCCCCGCCCCGCGTGGCTTGTTATACACAATGTATACGTCCTTCGCCTGGGAGGATATCTTCTGCTGCTACAGCTCCTGTCTCACTGAAGGCTGGAATGAGTCGGGTTCTTGAATATCTCATAGTTCTCTTTCGCTAGATACTCGAGAGATGGGCCAGGCTACGCAACCCCATACGACAGAGATTACCTGGCAATGTTGGAGATGTTTAAGACGATCGCTGCACGGTTGCTGGGCGTCGGTAGAATTGTTCCCTCCTGGGCAAGGAAAATATCAAGGCGTTCAAGGCCTTACCGGGGTTCAAGACTGCAATCGGTCTCACGATCTGGCCACATCGGAAGATATTCAATGAACAATTTCACGCCTTTGTTGTTTACAAGATCAAGAATGAATCTCCTATTCGCCAACTCGTCATCCTTGTCTGCACACAGAGAGGCTCTTGCGGCCCAGAAGCAGTCAGCACGCTGCGCAACAAGATGAGCTATGGAATCTTGCTTCTACTTTGATTATGCTGCAGTCATCTGTGAAGGGTACCCACTTTGAGGATTTCGTCAACTCGAGGAAGCGCCGTGATGTCGATGTCGCGATTGAAGTTCTTAGTGCGAACGCCCTCCACCGAGTCACACAACTACTTGTATTTGAGCAACTCAGTGGAACGATTGTTCCACTCGGTAAGCCGGGAGAGAACTTATCGATCTAGATGGCGAGACAATCTTTCGATTATGACCCCGCCTGCGGGCTATCTCTTGTTCGCCAGATTCATAAAGACTTTCGTCGACAAGTCAGTTGAGCAACAGCGTGCGCTTGGCTTTCCTAACATTGCAAAGGCGCTTGTAGTGCAAAATTCGGATGCGAGAAGAGACGGGTATCCCAGCTTGCAGAAAGCCTGGGCTGCAATGAATTCTCAAGGCTATCCGACGTTGGAGAAAGCGAGAGCTGTGTTGGCAGCACTTCCAGGCTGAAGAATCGTCACGAAGCATATTGATGCAGGGGATAATTTGTTGTGGAAGAACAGTACGTTAAACAATGCAACTGACCCCCCCCCCCAAAAAATGTCGATCGAGAGTGCCCGATTTGCGGTGAGATTGTTGAAAGAGACACGCCTAGGTGGTTTGATCTCAGGAAGTCGCCTCCCGTAAGTGCCAATTTGGAAGCAGGTTCTGATTATCTGACTTTGAGTCGGGTCGAAATGAGGGAATCTACACTGTGAGGCGCCTGTACCGGCCAGGGTATGTGCACGTTGGCTCGGACGCGTCACTCTAGCTCTGCTCATCTGCGAGCACGCGCAAGTAGCCCATTGAGTGTGTTCCAATTGATGCATGAGATATAATCCGGTAGAGACTATCAAGGGAACGTGGCATACCTTGAGACAACCTCCAACACCATATGAGGGGCTTCTATGGGCCTTTAGACCTGAAGATTTGAAGGGATTCACAGCTGGAAAGATTGCATTTGAGGGGCGGGAAGTGTCCTAGGAGGGTGCGAGGAGAGATGCATAAGTATTTGATTTGGAAGGAGATTTTGGACTGTTAAGATGAAGGAACTTATTTTTATTTGATGTTTTCGCTGCAGGCTTTGATGAAAACGGAGAGTTTGTTGCCGACTAGCCAGATGAAACATAACTATACACTACATTGCTGGAGATAACTTTGTATGGCTAATTTCCTTAGGCTTAATTGGACAGAGATATCAGCAGGGCGGTAGGGAGTCAAATACCATTTGCATGGAACGCAGTAAAGCCAATATACCCCACGGCAAATGAAGAAACCCCGCTTCTTAAGTGAAAAAGTCAAACCTCAAATAATAATCAAAGAAAAGTATCACGGCATGGCAGCTGGGTATCCGTCCCAAATATTAGCATCTCTCTTTCTCTTCAGGTTATTCGCCACGAAGTTCGGAAACCCTTCGTGTCTTGCATTCTCCACCACCGTGCCGGTGGTCTTCCAATGCACCTACTTAAATTTGGTCTTTGCCACCAAACCCCTCACAGCATCGCCCAGCTTATCCAGTGCCGCCTCCAGTGACGTCTCCCGCTTCCATGCTATCAACTTGAAGAGTCGTTGAAGTGGGCTCTTTCGCAACCTCTCCTTTGGTATCTCAGTGGTGACCAAAGACTCAGACACTACCTTGGCTCTGAATGCAAAGTAGTGCTTGTTTACTCGCATATCGTCCCCGGAGAGTGCAGTACAGCAGCCAAGTTCCAGATCTGGTCTTGTTTCTTAACATTTGCCACCGTCTTATCGTTTTCCGAGGTCGCATACCGTAGGGTCCCCGTGTGCCTTCCACCAACACTATCTGGCGGGCCGAAGAACCATCTTTGTCGCAGACGATGAAAGCATCCTTCGCTTATCCAAATATATGCCCAGGAAAGAGCGTGAGGCCTACTCATCTGGATAAGCTTCACTGAAAGCCTTGAAGTTCTCTCTGCAGAGTAACAGAACAACCCGGCCAAAGCCCAGCGTCCAGTCTGCGTATTGGGCGTTGACCTTTTGAAGATTCTGTGGTCGTCTCTTGTAGGGGGTCTTATGATCGCGGCTCTCCGGTTGGATACGCTCGTAATGGAATTCAGACATCAGTACTTCTGTTCCCGTCTAGAGGCCCAGCTTCTTGAAGGCCCATCCCAGTGATGTATGTAAACAATTGGCCGTGGCTCCAAAAAAACAGACAATCCGAGACGAAGGCCGGGTAGTACCATCTGATATGCAACGTCGGTTCTGCTGACCCCGACAGCTTGACTAACTGTGATGCCATGAACTCCGGGTTCCTTCAGCTTCAGCCGCGCCGGATGCAGAAGCAATAAAGTTCGCCCAGATCGAATCGAAGCCACTACAGCCAGAGCTCGCCCAGTCCGTAGCCAAAACGTCATTGCCAAGCTCACGTATCCGGTCGTTTACTGTGCCAAGTTCCACCTCGCTGCTTGCTGCTATCAACCTATCTCGCAGTCGAGATCCACTGAGACGGTCAGTTGAATCTACAACGAGAAACAGAAGAAACTCACTGCTCTGTCATTTCCTCTGCACCAGACCCCTGTCGGCTCGCTGCCATGCGCAGGATCTCGCTCACGAATACAGGGGCTTTGGAATTCCTCGCCGCTTGGTGCTCACAGAACCATGCCACCAGAGAGCCCACCTTGTCTTCGGTCTGGTACAATGGCGGCCCCACCGCATCTGTACTTAGAGCCTACCGGGCTTCCTGATCAGCTACGCCCGAATCCCAGGATCTCGTGTGCACATTCAGCGTTGAATCTCGGGAGCTTCTGAGGTCGTCTCTTTCACGGGGTCTTGTCGCCCCGACTCTCCACCTGTAGGCACTCGTAACATGACAGCCCCTATCTTCGGTCGCAGGCCCAGCTTCAGACTGCGCAGTTCAGTGACATGTTCGATAGGCCGGTGGTAACTCCAAATAATGTGTAGCTATAGTGAATGGCCAATAATGACAACGTACATGCAAGGTTGAGACTGGTGGTTTGACCAAGCGTGATGCCAGGAACTCAGGTTTGTCTTCAGCTGCCTCGACCGTGGAATCGTCTCCAACTCGTGGTTGATACCATGGAAGACTTGGAGACTTTGCTCATGCGCGTTTCTCTATGCAAGACTCAATCGATGTAAACGTTCGTGGCAGAGGTCTGAAGCAAACGTTCTAACCCGGATTGCAGACAAGCTTCTGATATTCAAGATGAGATTGAGAAGGACAAGATGACAGTTGCGGAAGAGAGCAAGAAGCGAGGTCCAAGATGTTTCGGCAGCAGCCAAATTTGCAGGTCGGCACCGGTGTTGGAAGAAGCCACCAAACCACCTCCCTCCTATTTTCAGCGAACGACCTCGTCTCAATTCCTACCGCCCACCCCACGTCGAGTAGAGCAAGGTCTCTTCGAACCTTGATCTAAGCAGGGCACTATGTGTATCTTTGAGAAGGAGATGCAGATTAAACAAGGGAATTCAAGATGACCTTGTAAACTGAACGAGCAGAGTATCATACCGAAATCGAGACCGCCGCATCGTCATGAAGTTCCATCATGTGAACGATCAAATTGCGCGGACCCACAACCAGGATAAGACTACAAGAAATGAACCCAATCAACTTAAATGAGAAAAGACAAGACAAGACAAGACTCTACGAATGGGAACGGTTATTCAACTTTGCCGATTGAGAAGAGTGCAAGCAAATGATGCTCGGGGCCCACTTGAGCACGTCGGAGTCATAACAAAGGCCCCGCACAGGCCACCGCGTTCAAGGCCACAGCAACGAGCGCGATCGAGAACGGTTGGTCACAGAAATTTTTAGAAATGGTTTGTAGGTTCATGATCGCATTGATTGCTCAGCGCCCGACGCTGGCAGAAATAATGTACACCCATTGAAAAAGCGCGAAAAACTCCATGCCATAAACCATTTGCGATAACCCCCAGACCCAGCCCATTATGATCACCTCAAATTTAGCATCCAGCCTGCCAACCCGATATCACCATTCTGAAGACCGGTGAGTCGATGCGAGGACTGCCATGTCGAAAATGCGGTGCCGATTGTCGAAGCAAATTTAAGATCGCTCTCCGCGAAGGCGGCGGGCAAGCTGAATGTCCTTGCTTTGAATTGTGACTCTCTTGGCGTGGATCGCGCAAAGATTTGTGTCCTCGAACTGTGAACTTGTTAGCATGGGTCAAAATGCGACAGTATATTGGAACTTACCAGAGAAACGAGGTATGCCTCAACGGACTCTTGGAGAGCACCGATGGCAGAAGATTGGAAGCGAAGGTCAGACTTGAAGTCCTGGGCGATCTCACGAACCAGACGTTGGAAGGGGAGCTTTCGGATGAGGAGCTCGGTGGACTTCTGGTAACGACGGATCTCACGGAGAGCGACGGTACCAGGCTTGTATCTGTGGGGCTTCTTGACACCTCCGGTAGACGGAGCAGACTTGCGGGCAGCCTTGGAAGCAAGTTGCTTGCGAGGGGCCTTGCCACCGGTTGACTGAGACAGTTAGCTGTGTTGTGGTGAAGAAAGGTGAAGCGCGTTGAGCATCAGCCGACACGGTCGCAAAATGAGATCGCAACAATCGCGACGATGATGAGGGGATGTAAAAGATTTGACGCTTACCTTTCTGGCGGTTTGCTTGGTACGAGCCATTGTTGATGGTGTTGATGGATGATTTGATGGTGTTGTTGGGTGTGGCGGTTGTTGGTCGATAGATGCCAGAAGTCGATGTTGTGTGGATGGGAAGGAAAGTCGGAAGAAGTGGGAGGGGCGATTATTTGTACTCAGCGGCGCTAGCGAGTGATCGCAATTTAGCGCGCTTTGGAAAAATGGTGCGTGCTCAGATTCAGCTTGAAAATCGTGGTTCAAAGTTCTGAATTTACTGACCAATCAGAAAGCGAGGAAGGTCTCGAAGTTTCGTGCAGGAACATCAAAAAAGCGAGGGATGCGGGAACTCTGAAAGATACCTCAACAATACTGTAATGTAATTGAATGGCCTCACAATTATGACTCATATGAAGAGAATGAACGCAGAAAATGACTGCAATAAAGCTCTTTGTTTCTCGATGACTCTATTCGTTGGTGCCTTCAGGCTCGATTTCGTTCATCATCAATATCGCCATGCCTTGCCTTGCCCTGCCCGCCCTGCCTTGCGCCACCCCGCAAGCGAGAGTTGTTGTGGTGCATCCCTTTCGGGCTTAGCGCGCTTTCCTGGCAGTGATGCGGAACAACCGAAGCGCGTCGAGCTCAGTCAAATAGCCACCTCCCCTCCATCTCTAAACAACTTCATTCGCAATCCAGCAAGCCGACGACAACTTTACACCACAACTTCAAACCACAACTTCAACTCAACTTCCCCACACAACCAACCTCAACAATCATGACTGGACGTAAGTATCCTTGTCTTTCTTCGATCAACTTGGCCCTTGGCTTGACGTCGATCGCGTCTTCAAAACATCTTACTGACGCGTCCCACAGGCGGAAAAGGTGGCAAGGGCCTCGGCAAGGGTGGAGCCAAGAGACATCGCAAGATTCTTCGTGACAACATCCAGGGTATCACAAAGCCCGCTATCAGACGTCTTGCGCGTCGTGGTGGTGTAAGTCCTCACAGTTTCTTACTTGGAACGTCCTGCTAACAATTCTAAAGGTTAAGAGAATTTCGGCTAGTACGAGCTTCCCGCCTCTATTCCCACGTTCTCAGCATGCTGACAATTTTCAGTGATCTACGAAGAAACCCGCGGCGTTCTGAAGACCTTCCTCGAGGGTGTCATCCGAGATGCGGTCACATACACTGAGCATGCCAAGAGTCAGTTAACTCCCATTCTCACCCCTTCTGGACAATGCTAATACATTCACAGGAAAGACAGTTACCTCCCTCGATGTTGTCTACGCCCTCAAGCGCCAAGGACGCACTCTGTATGGTTTCGGTGGTTAGGCGGTATTGGGTTTTCTGGAACGTCTGATGAATTTCATTCTTGGCTCTTTGGGCTGAGAGCTTGGCTGTACTACGGGGTCTGGGATTCTTGCTTTTCAAGGTGTTTATTGTATCATACGGATATGGGGGGATTCATGGTTGAGAAATCCATGAGATGATAATCAATCACACATTACAATATCGTGACTTGAATTTTTCATTGCATTATGACATTTGTATTATCTTATTCCTGTTAATTTATTTTCTCTAAGTCTAGAGTGCTATTACTCTAATAGTTATTGCAAGGAACTGCGACGGCTCAACACCTCGTGGTGCGGTCTGGTAGCCTGTATCTTGTAACGGCTGGCGTAAGGGTATAATCTGCCAAGGACAGGATATTGGAAACAGGCACAAAATAAAGCTAAGCCGGAATTACTTGGGCGGAATAATACTAAAGGTTAAGGCATCCTCATTACTTTATTCTATAACTTAGTATTTTCTAATATATAAGATTCTTTAAACTTTAAGCCTTTAACTATTATATTAATCCCGCTATTATATAATACTAAACTTATTTAATTTGGCTTATAAAAGTAATATAATATTATTTATAAAAAACTTATATTTATTTTTAAAAAATTAAAATAAAATACTATTTTTAATATTTAATAGTTTCTTGAATTATAAAGAATTAGAAAGCTTAACTAGAAATATAATATTTTTTATAATCTAGTTAATCTCGGAATTTAGTCCTTAATTAAAATAAAAATTTCTAATAATTAGTTTTTTATTAATATAAAAGAAAAAATATTATTTTCTATAATTTAATTAATTTCGAAATCTAGTCTTTAATTAAAATAAAATAAAATATTTAATAAAAATAAAAATAAAAGAATTAGTTATAGTTTACTAATTTAAAATAAAATATTAATTAATTAATTATAATTTACTAATATTATATAAATAAAAACTTATTTAATCTTTATTTTTATAATTAATATTTCTTTTAAAACTATTATAAATAGCCTAGAATTAAATACTATTTATTATAATTTCTAAATATTTAATATCTGAAATATCTAATTAGATATTAGATATTTTTTAAATATATATAATATAATTATTTTATTAGAGAAATATATTTGAAATATATTAAAAATATTTAGAAAACTAAGTTTTTTTAAAATTAATATATTATAAAATATATATATATTTCTTTATAATCTCTTATATTCTAATATTTCTTTTTTAACTTTAAATTATCTTTATAATAAATCTTTTATTTTGCTTTTTAAACTCTAAATACTATATTTATAATAGTATTTAAAGTTTACTTTTTTTAATTTTATAAAGAATTTTAAATAAACTAATTTAAAACTATTAAAAATATAAATATTATTAAAATAATAGAATTTTAAAAATATAAGTAATAGATTTTAGAATAATAAAAATAAAAAGCTTTAGAATTCTTAAAGAAATTAGATATTTATATTTTTATAAATATATATTAGAAATTTTTCTAAAAATCCCGAAAATTAAAAAACTTTATATAAAGGCTATTCTTTAATTAAATTCTAAAATAATAAGTATTTATAGGCTAATAATTTAATTCTTATTTTTAATTCTTATTTTATAATTATATAAGCCTTATATATATATTAATAATAAAATTATTAGAAAAAATATAATAAATTAATTTTCTAAAATAGTATATAATTCGAAATAATATTAATTTCTTTTAAGGCTTTTATTAGTTTAAATTATTTTATTAATAGTTTTTTCTAAATTAAATATATTATTAATATTTTTAGAGGTTTTTTTTATAAAAAAAAAATATTTATTAAAAAAAAACTTATATAAATAAATTAAGAAAACTAATTATTATTAGCTATTAGAAAAATCTTAAAAATATTATTTTATATAAAATAAATTATAAAAATATTAAAAGCTTTTTTAATAATATTAAGTTTTAGAATATTAAATTTAAAAAAAAATATTAAATATTATATAATTATAATAAATTAGTTTATAATTATTTTAGCTATTTCTATTTTATTTATTTTTTCTATTTTTATAATTTTAAATATTTTAAATTTTCTAAAAAATTCCGAATTATTTTTTATTTATTTTTATTTAAAATTTCTTATATTTTTTTAATTTTTTTAAAATTATATTTTTATTTAAAAAAGCTATATTTTAATTCTAATAAAATATAAAATATTTATTATAACTTTAATAAGTTTTAAATATATTCTAATTAAATATTTTAGGAATTTTATATATTTTTTTATAATTATTTATAAAAAGCTTTTATTAAAGCTTTAGAAATTAATATATATATATTAGAATAATTTTTCTATTAATATTATTTATTTTATTTAATATTATATTATTACTAATTAATAAATTAAAACTATATATAAAAAATTATTAAAAATTATTTTAATTAAAAATTATTTTAATTAAAAATTATTTTAATTAAAAATTATTTTAATTAAAAATTATTTTAATTAAAAATTATTTTAATTAAGTTTATTTCTAGTATTATATTTTTTTATATTTTAAAAAAAAATTTTTAAGAAATTTTATTTTATTTTATTTTTTTTATTAAATATAAATAATATTTTATAAATATAAATAATATTTTATAAATATAAATAATATTTTATAAATATAAATAATATTTTATAAATATAAATAATATTTTAATTATTAAATATTATAACTATAATAAATTTAAGTATTATATTAAGTATTATTTAATTAAATATAATAAGGAAATTAAAATAGCTTTTTCTAAAATTAAGCTAAATTTAATTTTTATTTTAATAAAATATTTAGAAAATTTAGGTTCTAATTTTAATATATAACTAGAAAATAAATATTTCTAAAAAAAAGTTTATATTTTAAAGGCTTATAATATAAATTTAATAGAATTTAATTTAATTTAATTAATAAAAAAAAAAACTTTTATAATATTTTATATTATTAATATAAATAAATTAAAAATTAAGTTTTTTCTTTTTATTAATATTAGAACTAATAATTATATTTTTATTAATATAAAGCTTATTTAGTTTATAAAATAATTTTTAGAAATAAAACTATAATTCTTTTTCTTATTTTATATTATATATAATTTTAATAAAAAGCTAGATAAATTTACTAAAAAATATATAAAAGTTTTATTTTTAATTAATAAATAAAATATTAAAATATTTATAATTATTTTAAATTTTAGAAATTATAATATTATTTTTAATAGAAAATAAATTATATATATTAATATTTTAATTAATTATAAAAAATATAGATTTATATAACTAAAAAATAAAAATAAATTTATATAATTTAATTATATTATTAATATTTCTTAATAATAGTTAAAGAAATATTAAAAAGATATTAATTAATAAGATTTTATTATAAACTATTTCTAAAAACTTTTTATTTCTAAAAACTTTTTATTTCTAAAAACTTTTTATTTCTAAAAACTTTTTATTTCTAAAAACTTTTTATTTTTAAATAATTTTTATTTTTTTAAACTAATTAAAGAAAATTATATAAAATTATAAAAAAGAAATATTAGTATAACTATTTCTCTAGAAATTATATATATAGTTATAGGATACAAGATACGAGATATAAGTAATAGAATATAAGATACGGGATATAATTATATAACCTTATATCTTATTAGTAATTTGACTAGTAAACTAGATTTCTTTAGGCTTAATAGATTTAGAAATCATATATTAATACTATAATACTATAATTCCTATTTCTAAATAATAATTTTACTAATCTTATATAAATAGTACTTCTATACTTATATAATAGTATTATATATTACTAGTAAACTAATAAGAAGCTTTTATAATATAATTAAAATATAATACCTAAATAAAAACTAAAAAAACTAAAAAATATTTTTAATTAAAAATAAATATTAGATTTAGTTATTTTTATTTCTATAAAATATTTAGGCTTTATTATTTCTATATTTAATATTAAAATAAATTCTATTAAAACTAAAATAATATATAACTAGTAATTTTTAAAAATAATTAAAAATATATAGTTTTTTTAGTTTTTATAATTTCTATAAATACTTTATTAAAAAATATAAATAAATTATTAGATTTTTTTTAAAATAATTTAAATAATATTAAAAAACTCTTAATTATTTTTAAAAAAAAGCTATAATTTCTATTCTAGTTTTATAATATAATAATTTAGTTTTATTTATAATAATAGAAATAATTATTAGTTTTTTTTATTTAATAAAATCCAGAAATAAATCTTTAGTATTTTATGATTTATTTTTCTAAAATTATACTTTTAATAAAGCTTAATTATAATATATATATTAAAAAAATACTTATTATAATATAAATATTAAAGAAATAAAAAACTAAGCTAGAAAGCTTTTAAAATATTTTTTTTAAAATCTATTTTAATTATTATATCTTAGAATACTTTATAATTATTAAAAAGTTTTATTTTAATTATTATTTTAAGTTTATATATTATTTTAGAAAATTAAATAAATAAATAAATATTTAAAATTAAATTAAAAAAAATTATAAACTTAAATACTTTTTTCTAAAAATAAAATTAATCTAGAAATTATTTATAACTTATAGCTTATAATAATACTTTATAGAATTAGTTTATTTAATTCGGAATTTAGTTCTAAAAACTAAATATATATTTAAGATTTTTTAAAGAAATACATTTTTATTAAAAATATAATTTCTTTAGAAAAAAAAATATTTTAAAAGCTTTATTAATAAATATTATTATAATAATTCCTATAAAAGTATTATTAGAAGCTTTTATTAAATATAATAGCTTATAATTTAGAAATAAGATTTTATAAGATAATTATATATTACTAGATTTAGAAAAGTTATATATAATAATCTAAACTAAAAATAATATTTAAATATTATAAAACGGCTTTTTTTAATATTATAAAAAACTTTATATTATAGAAAATAAAATAATCTTTAAATTAT